GCTGTCAGCTACCGATGGAGATTGATGTGTCTCGCATTAATCTATAGCTTGTCTGCGCTATTTTTCCCGTCACCGCTAACCAGATCCACTCTTTCGCCGGATGAGGAATAATGCGGGAGTACGCGACGCTCAATCATGTTATTTCATTTCTAAGGTCCGCGTCGAATGAACAGCCCGAATGAAAAAATACTTTTTGCTATAAAAAGAGAGAAGTCTCTCTTCAAATTCTACGACTCGGTGAAACTTAATGCTTGGCTCTTTATTTCAGACGCGTAATCCTTGCGATATTTCTCGGACTATTTTTTTTTGTTTGTTTTATTCGTCGGTGTCTAAGTAGCTAAAGGGGAAGTTCGTCAAGAAATTACAAAGAAAGCATTTAATTTTAACAAGCAAGAGGGGCGCGCGAGAGGGAATTATCTTAGACGTGGCAGCGGCGACATAACTTTTGTTATCATAACGGAAACTTAGCGATGCAAAATCGAGAAAGAGAGAGAGGGGAGGAGAGAGAGAGAGAGAGAGAGAGTCGCGACATAACTCAGCGCTCCGTGCACACACATTCCAGCCCGATAACCTCGTTTCGCGCGTTATCAACGCTTCCTTTTTTCGCGCGAAAAATTTCCACTTTTTCATCGACGGTGCCTCGCGATGAAACGCGATTTACTCCGGAGCGCTATACGACTCCGTACCGGTTTTGAATTTCATGAGAATACGTCCGGCGAGGGCCGCGAGCTGCCGCGACGTGGGGGAGGAAAAAAAAACGGAGCGAGCGGACGGAGGGAAACGCAAGCGGGGGCGGCGTTTTACTGAATTTTTAGAGCAATGCGAAATTAAAGCGATTTTTAATTGGCGGCACAGCGCGCGGCGCGGCGCGCCTTTGCAGACTTCTAATTTTTTAATTCGGGCTCTTTGTGCGCAGCGCGCACGCCGACTGCAGCCTTTTATTTGACGAAGAAAATGCATTTCCTCGTTAATATTCCTTTGCTCTTTGCCGACCGCCCCGGCGCGGCGGATATATGAAGAGGTCCGGCTATTAAAAACGCTACACGACGCTTTCATTAAATTCCGTACTTCTTTTTCCGGTATTAAACGATTTCCTACCGCACATGATTTTTCCAAGCGTAACCGCGTTTCGTAGAAAATCTTTCATTCCGTCTTGCTTAACGAAACCTGTTAAATTAACGATAAATGCGATTTTCCTATTTAAGAGCTTTAAAATATCTAAATCATTTATATATTGTATCTACTTTTACAGCGTTTTACAGCTTTAATTCTATCCTCTAATTGTCATCATTTCCTGCAAAACATCATCTAATTATCTTCAAGTCTCTCTCCCCGCTCATTACGCAATAAACTCTTGAATGGTGCAACCTCGCCGCAGTTCGAGGCGAAGGTTTTTCGTTTTTCCAAGAAACACGATTCTTCTTTCCCACCACGTAGCCGGCGAGTTTCCGTCGCGCACTTTGCCGGCGACGTAACCCGTTTGGTCTCGGGACGTCACCTCCGCCCTATCGTGAACAAGGTCGGAGGTTGTAGATGGCGAATCGACAGAGGTATGAGAGATAGCGCGGCCGCCCCCGGACAAAGTTTGTCGCAAGTTTAGATTGAGTTCAATCTCCGAGCGCGCGCGCGCGCGCACACACACACATGTACATACACAAAGAATCACACACACACACACAAATGCACATACCATACCACCTTCCTCGCACCTTCTAGAATCTAGCCTATCGTGACTCAACCGCCGGTCCTTTCTCGGCTCTTTGCACTCCCAGTACGGCTAGCTTATCGCCTAATATCCAGAGCCGGAGGTGGAAATGTCGAGACGTTTCGTGCCCAGCCCCGACGGTCTTCGAGTTCGCGCCTCTATGCCGTCTACCCTCCTCCCCCCCCCCGCCCGTCCCATTTCCGCGCCCCGAAGGTGACAAAGTAGCCGTCCAAAGTAGAATTGTGTGCGCGCGGTCGTAAAGTTTTTCCTTTTCCTAGAAACTATTGACGGGTCGGGATGCTTATCGGCGAAAGCGGTTTAACGTCACCTCTCGCTATACGCTTTTAACGAGCGTCTCGCGAGGGTTCAACGCAACCGCGCGGTTGCTGATGGTGCGGTTTGCTAATGCGTTTCGGGGATTGCAGTACACTGCGCGCAGAAAGTTGATTCCGCGAGAGCATGCGGAGTGTACAGTTTGAAAGCACGATGATCTAATATCAACGATACAGAATAAATAAAAGAAAAAATATATAAATAAACTATCTAAATATATAAAAACCATCTGACTATAGGAAAGTATCGAATTACTCGAAGGAGAAGAAAAAAATAATATTTCTTACGTTCATAAAGTCGTCGCGATTGTATTTAAAAAGGAAACAAAAACGCAATTTGTTTCCCGCCGCGCTCGGGAATGGAATTACCGATTTCGTCGCAGTATCGCATCGATGCGATCGCGTGGCGGCATTCCGGGAGGAGCATGGAGCTATATTCCGGATGTGTCAAGCGTCTAACGACGTAACGTTGCGTACGTTAAGAGCACATCACGTAAATCAAGTTAACGTGGTACCGGCGATGAAAGCGCCTTCACCGGGCTTCGTCGTCGGTGAAATTTCGCCTTTCGTTCCCCTCTCCCCTTTCCTCACCCGCCGCGCCCGTAAAATTCGATCAGGAACGCCGTATTCTCGTTGGCTGATGGCGTCATTACCTTACTTCGCCATTTTGCCGACAACACAGCGAACAAGGGAAGCTATACACGGCGGCGGAGGAAACGGAGTTGCGCCGTTTTCTCCCCTTAGGAATTTTGCGGGATGAACTTTTTCGCGTGTATCACGTTCAATGGCGGACAGAAATGCGTCTAATAATACTTTTATTTCACTGGTGCGTATATATACGTATACCGCCGCGCGCGCATTCGCCGTGAAATAAATTCTATTTTAGCTTCTTCCCGAGCTTCGTTTTCGAGCTCCGAAAGTCTCCTCTCCACGTCTCTAAATCGCGCGGCGGATTTTTGATTCCTCTTTAACGCACGTCGTCGCGCATCACGCTAAAAGCGCTAAGGAATAAACCCGGAGAAAAATATGAAAGAATGGAGATTGACGATCCAGAAAGAAAAAGGCACCATTGAGAGGAAATGGCACGAGCGGAGGCAACCAGACGTCGGGCGTTTCCTTAATTGCATTTTTATGCTCGCCCGGATTTCCGGGTCGGCGAAAGGGTCCAGGGGTCCGCAGGCGGAGAAGAAAAGAGTTTATTATACCGAAGGCAGAAACTCTCTTACGAGAGCGCGCGACTAACCATTAATGCGTCTTGAACTCCTCCGCAGAATGAACGAATTCGATGCGACGTGATCTCTGCTTAGTCGGAGAATTTCAAGCACGCGGAATATCTAGTCTATATGGGCCGATACAGAATAAAAAAATAAAAGATAAAATACTAATAAAATTTAATAAAATATATGAAACTAATAAATTATTCATTAAGAAACCGATCAAAATTAAAACGGACTTTTTATTCTGTTATTCATATACTTCAGAGTTAATGTAAATACTAAAAAAATATATAAAATTTCAACGAGATGTCCGTTTCAAAGTGAAACATCTTGAGTAAACGAGCGAAGAGATACTCAAAACTAATTACGAAAAAAAGTCTGGCTGAAGCGATGAATCTAATTTCAATCTTAACTGAAAGTAGATTGGAAACTGGAGGACGATCGTCTTGACCTTTCGGAAAATCTCGTTTTCACAATTAATGAGAGATTAAGAGTTCAACAATCTCTCTTGGACGTTACGAAGTATCAAAAAATAAGCAATTTTTTTTTAAACGATAAAAAGTCGATGCAAATAAGAATAGAAAAGTTTGTGCAACACCTACATCTTCTGCGAGAAATTAAAAATTAATTAACGCTCGGACTTCTCGAGTTTTCAAACAAAAGCAATCGGTTTATTGTACCTAGCATAAAGTACAAATGATAAACGTGACTCGATACTTTGTAACTTCATAATTTTTTCACAACGTAATTAGCGTTCTATAAGAGCTTCCTTATTCCGGGTTGCGACTCCTCACCGTCACGTCTCCGATTTCATGAGCGGGAATCGCGTTTCCGTGTTATCCTAAATATCCCCCGGAAACTCGATAGCGTAGTCGGACAATGGTACAGTGTCCCGATGGAAATACGAGAAAGAAGAGAGAAGTGAATTCCGGCTGCACGGGGGCCGCGCCGAATTCGTGTAACAGTCGCGAATAAGTTCAAACTGTCTTGTAACATCGACCGTCCGTTCTATCGGGCTGTCTCTCTTTCTCTCTCCACATCCCCCTATCTTCTCGCTTCTAGATTTATTGAAATTTTATGCGGTATCCCGATGAGGTCCGACTCGAAAGTTTTATCGACGGCCGCGATGGGTGGTCGGACCTTATATTACGCAGGGGGAAAAAAAGAGAGAGCGAGGGGGACGGGCTTCTATTTCTGCTCGAAGCTTATATTCCATTTTCCCGCGTTCCAGAGAAAAAAAGGGAGAGAGCCAGCTCCCGGATATCTCTCTGTTGTACGAAATGAAAAAATAAAATCCCTATAGAAAAACTACTTTCCGATTCATGATTGTGGTTACATGTATATTTTTTTTTTTGCTAATACAATTATATCGAGATAATACTATAACAAACGTCGAGAGCTCTAAGTCTCTTTTAGATAATATTTTCACATTTTTTTCGTCACTATCAATTTCTATGTGGAAAATTTCCGAATCGCTCATAAAAAGATTAATTCCGCATTACCGAAAGCAAAATCGCGATAACGTGCGCCCGTACATTTCTCTGTCAAAGCCGACGATACTTTATCGTGCTCGCGTCCTATCGCGCCCTTAATTTCCACGCGCGGCAATATCGTTCTATCAACGTGCATTGGGAAACCATTTATCGGACGTCAGCGAGGGAAAGAGAGAGAGAGAGAGAGAGAGGGAGAGGAGAAGGGCAGGAGGGAGAGAGGAAGAAAACGTGACAGAGCTAACGTGGTACTCACCCTAGGTTATGGTTGTCCGTGTTGTCGGGAGCGTCGTCCGTCACGGAATCCTGCGTCAGGGGGCCCTGGGTGACGTCCACCCCCATGCTGCCCAGATCCAATGTGGCGTAGGTTCTGCGTGCTTGCACCCTCGTTCCACCACCCCCGCCGCCGCCGCCGCCACCGGTCACCTCGCCGCTTCTGCCGCCGCTGCCGACCAATTCCTGATACAATTCATCGTACAGAGAACTACCGTTTCCATTGCTGTTCAAAGCGTCGTCTAGACGAGCTGGATCTAGATGGTAGTTGGGATTTTCGAAGGAGAGAAGGCCGTTTTCTGAAAACAAAGCGATACACTCTGTTACGAATAATTCAGTTACACTATTTACGGTATAATATATTGGAAACGTATAATATCTACACATTTTTATGTAACCTAACGATATAAATAAAACAGAAAAATATATAATAAAATAGGATATAAATAAAAATAAGTACTTTGTCAAAAAGGATGCATGTTTTATTATTTTTATATTGATATTTATGTGCCTTTATTTAACTGTTATACGTGCACCGCGTCGAAACGATCGAAGATATTATCAATGCAAAATAGTTCCATTTGTATCGACAGGGGAATTAATTATGCAGACGATTTTCAGGGCAATTTTTACGATAATCCTCATCAATCACGCAAACGGAGCAGCGGAGGAATATAACGACGAAACGAATAATCAAGAAGGAATAGATATCGCGGTTCTATAAAAAAAAATCCCCTTTACTGCAGCGGTTCACTGCGAGACGACTTAGAAAGCAATTGTATCGCGTACTCATCGTAGAAATTAGGCATCGATTTTGCGGGACGCATGCGTATAGCTTATACACGTCGTTCTCTCGCTGACGTGACTGCACGTGGTAATAAAAGAAAGAGAAAGAGAGAGAGAGAGAGCCCCCGTTTTCTCGGAGGAGCATTACTTCGCAGAAATCTCGTATACGGCCCCGCTGCAGTTTTGCGTGACGTGCGACGCCGCGCCGCGACCGCGCGCGGTTCCGCGGCTTTAAATACCAGCGGAATAACGAGCGGCTCCAAAGGTCAAGGCTCCGAGAGTTTATGGCAGACCATAGTGGCAGATGCGATCGACCGCAGCTGCCGGCGCGTGCACGAGACGTCGCCAAAAGGTCGCCCGATATCGCAGAGCGTCGATATACGCGCGGCCGACCGCGTATCTCCGCGTAAAACGGGCGTCTCGCCCTGTTTTTTAACATTAATGGGACTCCAGGCGAGACGATCGGAGACGCATCTCACGTCGTGGAGTCGAATTCCCGGATACGGGGAGCGAGCGTAAACGTCAAGAAATTGAGAGTCGCTTTGCCTGACGGATCAGGCGGCATGACAAATGTTTGAAGTTCGGCTGTGCGCTTTTCGCGAAAAACCGGAGGATCGAGTCCGGGATTCAATTTAAGGTTTCGCGCTAATCTATAACGCGACCGGCGATTACGGTAAGAAAGCTTGTCGCGGGTGATCGTCGAAGACGCGGTATTATCTGGTGATAGAGACGCGGCGAAAGAGAGAGAGAGAGAGGGAGAAAGAATAATGGTACGAAGTGTTAAGCTGCAAGCTCGCGCCCGGGATAGATGGCCAAGTTAAATACTGCAGTCGCGGTTATCCGATATTCCCGACTATATCTTCGCGGCAGCTCGCACGGAATACTAATAAAATTTATTCAGCGCGGTTAATATTGGTGGAGTACACCTCGCCTCCCCCCCTCCCCGGTTAATATAGAGCTTTCAGCCGCAGGAATTTACATCGCCCAGCCATTACGATTGCTCACACATCCGTCTGTTTGGCATAATTGTCGATACAACCAAAAATCCACAAATAACTTTTCGACCCAAACAGAGAGCACATTTCGCGTGTGCGGAGTCGCTCGTTTTAGAAACGCTTCTCCCGGGAGGCCGATTCCTCATAAATAGTTCGTCATCGAAACGCTTGTCACGTGCGCGAGCGCATAATTTACTTTTGCGAAATGGCAATCTAATTGCATCTAACGATCCCACGTGCCCGCGATCGATGTGTCTCGCTCTCGCGCTACTCACTGATAATCCTGAGAAAGACGACAACGGCGAGAACGACGTTGTACAGGAGCCGACAAAACGAGTCCATGCTGGTCTGACGGCTGTCATGTTGGCGGAAAAAAGCTCGGCCCGATACTCTCTCGCAATATAATCGGCTAGATGCGGCTTATCGGCGCGCTACATCGGTGACGCGCGCGAGGTGCAAACCGCACCGGAGTCGAATCTCTCTCCTTGGCCTCCTTTTGTCCCTTCCTTCCTTCCTTTCTTCCATCCGCAACTCTCCTATCTAGTCTACGTCTACACGTCTCGCTCGCGCCACCCCGCTATTGATTCGACCACCTAAAAGCTTCCCCGCTTTCGAAAGGAGCTCCTTTTTCGACGGAGTGACTCGCGGCGCGACGTACGCTGATAGGCCGAGCTAAAAATACTGCAATGTTTCGTCCTATTTTAGAACTCCCAATTTTCTGTACCTAAGAAAAACGGAGGAGGATTTAAATAAAAAATTACTTTCGTTTTTTTATTTAAATTAAATATAAATACGGAGTCGGATTCTCGGCTTGTTCCTCTACTCTTCGGAAAATTTTATGGCTCTGAAAATCGAAAGTGTGTAGCTATAGCGATACCGTAAAATCGCAGAACGGATACGGCAAATGCGAATTTGCGAACGTTCATTCAGTCCGCGTTCGCTCAGGCATCGTCAATAAACACCCATAGTTTCGCCGTTTATGGCAGCCACGGTCGCGACGTAAATACCAATCACGAATCTGCGATTCGAGACGTGAACGGGCGATGAACTCTCATTATCCGCGTCCGGATACGCGGTTCCATCATTCAAACAACATTCGTACGCGCGCGCGTACACGTAACGATCTTCCCTTTTATTTTTTTTTTTTTTTCGAGGGCCACCGGGTTGGCGTATACATACGGTCACAAAAAAGCCTATTAACTTGTTGCACATGAAACGGCGGTAAACGAGTTACGCGGTGAAAAATACCGACTTCCTTCGCGGGAGTTAATAATGTCGAAAAAAAGGCAGAGTTTAACTGATCACTTGTTTTAATAGATTAACTGACGTCGCTCGTTTCGCTCGCAACAAAGTGGCGGGAGCCACGGTCTCCTCGCTGATCGATCAAAGCTAAAATTAATGGCCTTGTTACTTTGAATTTTTCTTTGTCCGACATGGACAAAGAGCGAGCCTGCATGTGTTGCTAACGTGGCTCTTTCTCGCGAAGAGTTAATTAGAATGACTAAAGGATAAAATCGCGTATTTTTTAAAAATACCTTAAATATTACCGTTTAACTTTCGGGAGCAACAATTTTATTTCAGTTTGTGCAATTTAGGCGATGCTATAAATTTGTTATTCATTCGTTGGAATGTCGCGAGGGCTCGGGAGAGCCAGCTTTCTAAAATATTAAAAAACTGTTTAATTAAGTAATTATTTTATGACGCGCGACGATGCTCCAACATCGCACTGTTAATTGCAGTGATTAATAAAAGGCACTGTAAAATTTATTTTTACAAGCAAGAACAACCGCGTACACGCGTTACACGCGTTAAACAGAACTAAAAGCTTAATTGTACGATATTTTATGAGAGTTCCTATCATTTTAACAACTCGTTTATAAAACAAAAAATGTGTTTGCAAGTTTACACGTACCATCATCCGTGTTACATTTGAAACTCTCTCATGTAAAACTATTTTTTACCGTATCAATTTATGAAAAAAAAAAAAATATTGTACTTTCCACACACGCACACACAGTACGATTTCTGCCCGCGGATCCAATTACACTTCGATTTACAAAAATTGGAATGCCCCTTTTTTTTACCAAAGTTCGTTAACGTTTGACGAGGTTTGTAATTTGCGCGGAATTTATGAGGAGACCGTGTAATGAAACGAAATCGAAGGAAAAGGACAAATGAATGCGCGAAAGGGTCGCCCGGGGCCGACAAATTGTCTGCCGACGACATTCCGCCGCGTGCTCGTTATAGATACGTGGGAGGTGCGACGACTGGCACTCCCCGCTGAATGCATCTCGTTATTTTTGTAGTGCGAAAATCCTGGCACGCGGGGGGGGGGAGGAGGAGGGTGGGTGGAACTGCGAGGAGAAGGGTAGAACACGGCGGGATGTGTTTTAAAGTTCGAGAGCACGTCCGATGCGCGAAAGGAGCTGAGCGAAAAGTATTAAGGCGACTGGCGGAGAGGAAGACTCTGAAAAATACCCTACGTGCTCGTTAAAATCCCATCTTAAAAAATCTCTCACGTGGCGCGACCAGACGCGCGTTGTGTTCTGAAAGTGTGGCGAAAGTAAAAAAAAAGAAAGGGAGATGGAAATAAAAATTGCCCGCTTGGACGCGTTTAACGAGTTCCGTAATGCAAGAAGACCCCTCTTAGATAACCTTTTTTTGTTCAGGTATCTTTGAACGCATGACTGCCTACCTTTGAAAAATTACTTTTCTTATTTAAAATAAAAAATATATTTGGAACATGTAAAAAGATTCTGTTGGAGATATTTGAGAATATTTTCGCAAGAAACTCTTTGTGCGTCGAAAATCCGCGCGCGATTTTCTATGCCTTCTATTAAAATTGGGACTTAAGTCGGATTCTTATGTGCATCTTGAAGAGATTTGGCACATAATTTTCAAGCTCGGGGAAAAAAATGGAAAATTGGCGAATCAACGAAAAGATGGTTTGCTAACAAATCGATCGCAAACGAGAGATTCGCAGGCTACCTGTTACGGCGCGCAATGGCGTATAGCGTTTGCAGCCGTTATACCGCGAACATGTCTCGTTATTTCGCGTGGAATGAAGCAGTTTAAAGTTTGAACGCCTGTGTTGGGATCGCGGAAAGGGCTACGCGAACGAGACAATTAAGAGCGGCAAGGATAACGCAGAAATGCGGACGGTGTTCGAAGTTGTTTCACGTTTCCGGAATTCATTCGTTAGAACGAATTCCACCGCGCTCGTGGATTTTATTTGGAACTAGATTACAGGCGGAACTTTGCAAAATGGAAAATTTTGTATCGGCGGCGAGCAAAGTACCGCGCGCGATAATCCCCAACTGTGCTATTGCGTTGCGATAACAAAATTTGAAGCAAACGTTCAGAAGCCAATTCAATATTGTTATATTGTTATCTAATTATGAAGCAGTTACAGCGATAACTTAAATAAATTAGATATTACTTAGATCCTGCGGAGGAACGTCTAGACCGGAGACGCGACTCTCGGAGAGGAGAGCCGAACCGAATCGGTACAGACGGGG